AGCGAATTGAACCACAGTGCTAGAAACCACGAAGCTCACTGACAGTTCAGATCTCTTGGTTGCTCTGAGAACATTCCAGTGCATGTGTGGGTGATCAAGATCCAGAGAAGATGGAGGGCCAGGGACAGGGGATTGAGTTGTGATGAGATACTGTCAAAGGGTGCTTCTCTATCTCTCACCCCCTTTGCCCTGTGCCTGCACATGCTCTTGAGGACAGAATTCTAATTACTTTTTCCTATTCCAGAGTTGTTTCAAAGGGGCCTGGGAGAGTCCTGCCCACAGACATTAACAGAGACCTGCTAACATTAACAGTCCGCTTTAGTCCATTGGTTGTGGGAAGCTACACCCTGTCCCAGGCATAGTTTTTATGATGCATAGTAAGCCTTCTTATCTCTTAAAGCACTGATGTTTTTGTGCTAATTTCTTTTAGGAACAGAGTCTTGTGTTTTTCTTACCCAATTACTAATCTAAGAATTTCAGACTCACCTATAAACTACAAGCCTTCAGCCTTTTCTGTCCAAGCCAACAAAAAAGACTCCTTATACTGACAGCTCTTAAAACTATGTAAGAGGAATCACTGTAGCTCAGCACTCCAAGTAACATGGTTATCTTTCTCCCAGTCAGGTCCTTTGATATTGGGCTTAGTAATAAGCCTAATTAATTATTATTTCTACAGAGTTGATAATTTCCTTCAATATGCTCTATCATGAATAAGATAAAACTTAAAAACATACAGTGACTATGAGAGGTTATGTACAGGACAAACTATAAGAGAGCTCTGTAGGGGGACCAGCAGTTAGCGTAATGGCTATGTTACTGGACTCCCATGTAGTTGACTGTGGTTCGCGTCCTGGACCCGGTGGCTTAAAATTCACGCGGGGTGCATGTGAGTGCGTGCCCAAGCTCCCAAGAGGAGAATGGAGGAAAAGGGATTGCGACATGGTCATCCCCTCTGGGGGGTGATTTCTCACTTTCTGTCTCTCTCTGTCTTTCTGGTGAGCGTATGGAAAAACCCCTAAAAAAAAAAAAAAAAAAAAAAAGAGAGAGCGAGAGAGAGAGCGAACAGTTCAGTAGGAATGTGATACCCCCTGTTTGCATAAGATGGAGCCACAGAGGGCAGGAACGCATGCACCTTGCTCAAACCCTGTATGAACAAACTGCTGGTTTCATTGAATAGTATGTACCAGTGTCTCGTGGCTACCATAACAAATTACTACAGACCGTGTGGCATGAAACAACAGAAATTTGTATTATCACTGTTCTGGGGCTGGAAGACTAAAATTAAGGTGTCTGCATGCCCTGTTCTCTCTGAAGGTGCTGGGAGAGGATCCTTCCTTGCATCTTCTAACTTCTGGGATTCTAGATGTTCCTTGCCTTGTGGCCACACTACTCCCACATCTGCCTCTGTCTTTACATGCTCTTCTATGTCAAATCTTTCTCTTACAAGGATTCTTATCATTAGAGCTCATTCATATAATCCATGATGATCTTATTTTAAGATCCTGAATTGTATCTGTGAAGACACTATTTCCAAATAAGATCCCATTTCATTCATGGGGTTCAGGTGGATATATCTTTTTTTTTTTTTTTGAGAGGATTTTGCTATAGGGTGCATGCGCTCGCCAGACAGACAGAGAGAGACATAGAGACAGAAAGCAAGAAATCACCCCCCAGGGGGGATGGTCACACCACAATCCCTTCTCCTCCAGTCTTCTCTCGGGATCTTGGGCATGCACACACATGCGCCCGGTGTGAGTTTTAAGCCACCGGGTCCGGGACTCAAACCGCAGTCGACTACGTGGGAGTCCAGTGACATAGCCATTACGCTAACTGCTGGTTCCCCAGGTGGATATATCTTTTGAGGGGCCACTATGTAATGTACTATACAGTGCATTCATGTGCTTATGCATTTACCCAATAGCTCTTTTTAAGCACTAATATACAAAGGAACTGTGGGAAGTACAAAAACAAGCTGAACAAAGATCCTGTCCTGTAAAAATCTGGCTTATACTTATTTAGAAAATGGGTTGGTCTGGCCTGTGGCATAGTGGTTAAGATAGCTGGATCCCACATGGCTGACTGCATGATTTGAGGCTTGACAAATATATTGGGTGCATGCGTGTGTGCCTGAAGTCCTGAAAAGAGAAATGAAGAAGGGATTGTAGTGTGACACATTGCATTGGGAGTGCTTTCTTATTTTACCTCTTTTTCTCTGTCTCCCTCTAGCAAATGCACATGACCTTTAGCAAATTAAAAAAACAGAAAAGAAAAGAATGAGTACCCTGAGTGAAGTAACTAGAAATACAATACTGTACCAGCTAAGGTAGTGGGTATCAGCCAGACTGGATCCCGAGTGATAGGTAGGCTTTATTTATTTAGATACAATACACTTAAAATTTTATGATTAGTATTATTTCTGATAGACAGATCATAATTTTATATATTTATGGGGTACAATATGATGTTTTCATAGATATATACAGTGTAGCATGATTAAATTAAACTAATTAACATAGCCATCACCTCACTTACCTGTCATTTTTTTACAGTGAAACATTTGAAATTTACTCTTTTAGCTATTTTGAAATATAAAAAACATTATCATCAACTGTAGTCACCCTGCTTGCAAGAGCAAGACTATTCTTGTTTCACTGAAAGTTTGTACCTTTTGGTCAACATCTCCCAACTCCTGGCCTCTGGTAAACATTGTTCTGAAGGATAAGGAAGCTTCAAATGAATAGGAAAAGGGCATTCCAGGCAGAAAAATTAGCATCAAGGGGGCCCAAAGGCAGCAAATCATGGGTGTTTACCAACATTGCTACGAAATTCAGAGCACAGGGTGAGCAAAAGGCAGTAATGGGAGAAAAGAGAGAGGTTGTCTGGGGACAGAAATGGTGGCCCCAAGTGGGTTTAGCCAGTGAAGATGGCACGGGTCTTTGAATATGCATGTGATATGATAAAAAAACTTTAATTTGGGAGGATTATGTATTGATTATAAGGAATTGGGAGCCCAGTCCAGGAGCATAGTCAATGGCAAACAAAACTGCAGTGCTGAAAGCCACATGGCTAACTGTGCTTTTGGATCACTACTTTTGGTTGAAAACGTATTGGGAATGTGTGTACACATGTACAAGAGCCTAAGCAGGTAGACTAGACTAAGGGCCAAGGAAAGGGGATCATTGTGTGATGAGACCCTGTTTGAGGGTGCCTCTCTCTTTCATAGGTATATACACATCCTCTATCATAAATAAAATAAACATTAAAAAAAAACTTAGAGCCAGCCAGTGGTATAGTTGTTAGGGCAGCTGAATCTCATGGCTGATGATGTGGTTCAAGTCTCAGACCCAGTGGCTTGAAAACATACTGGGTGTGTATGTGTGCATGATCAAAATCTAGAGAGAGGAAATGGAGGAGAAAGGATTGTGGTGTGACCACCCACCCAGGATATGCTTTCTCGATTTCCTTCTCTCTTTCAGTCTGTCTCTGGCAAGCACACACACTCTATAATGAAATTTTAAAACATAAAAAGAATTAAAACGAGGAAGAGACTGAAGATGGGGAGGCAGGTCGAGAAACTTTTAAATTAAAGCAGAGATAAGTATGTATTTGTGAGAGCTGAAAAGCCAAATAAGGATTTGGCTATAACAAAAACAAAACCAAAAACCAAAAAAACTTGGTGAGGTAAGAAAGGGAATAGGGATAGTCAATCATAACTCTGGGTCTTGGCCCAGATGAGTAGGACCATAAACAAAAACAAGAAATACTGGAGAGATCCAAATCACAAGAAAACAGAATGAACTCATTAGGGACACACTGAGTTACAGAGCCTGTCTGAGGCCTGCAGAAGGGCTTTGGAACCAGAGATGAGAATCTGAGATGATAATGCATTGAATGATCCTCAGTGCAAGGTGGAAAAAAAGAAAGGAGAGGGATCTTGGGAAGGTTTGGGGGGCAAAAAGAGAACAAGGAGCTTTTAGAGGAACAATCAAAGGTGGAGAAGATAGAACAGGAAAATACTTCGTTAGAGGGTGAGGTCAGAGAGTATCCTTCCTGTACAAACATCTGCAGAAAGATGGATGAGGTCTGAGAACACTCCACAAGTGCTGAGGAGTTAGTTTGGGGAAAGCAGTGCCCTCAGAGAGGTTTGGGAGCAAAGTCAGAGTCAGGTGATGGAGAAGCAAAGACAACACACACAGACCACTCCTTGAGGACATCTTGTGGGAAGGAGAAAGAGGCATACAAAGACAATCATTAAGAGTTATCAGGGGACCAGAAAGTGGCACAGACTTCCACCTGGCTGATGATGGTTGGAGTCCCAGACCCAGCAACTTAAAAATCACACTGGGCATGTCTGCAAGTGTGCACAAAATCCCAGGAGGTGAATTGAGGAGAAGGGATTGCAGCATGGCCATCCCCCTTGGGGGATGATTTCTTACTTTCTCTCCCTTTGTCTGTCTCTCTCTGGTGAGTGCACGTGAGTGCACCTGTGGCAAAAAACAAACAAACAAACAAAACCCCCCCAAACCCCCCAAAAACAAAAGAAACAGCAAAACACAACAAAAACAAAAAACTTACAAAAAAAAGAAGTATCTGAATTTCTCACTCATTTTTTTTGACTTTTTAATAATTTTCAAATTTTAAAGCTTTGACCTACTGCTAACTAGATTAAAAAAATTGCAGGAGGGTATGTGCACTTGCCAGAGAGAGAGAGAGAGAGATGGAGAAAGTAAGAAGGTACCCCCTACACACCACCATCAGGGGCAATGATCATGTTGCAGTTCCTTTGTCTCCCTCGTTTTGAGATTTTGGACATACGTGCACACACACTCCTACATGTTTTTTAAGTCACAGGGTCTAGGACTCAAACTGTGCAATTGGCCACGTGGGATCCAGCACCCCAACCACCCAATGCACGGGCTGGCTTGTTAGCTAGATTTTGACTTCAGCAGGGCCGAA